GCCCCGGNATAAAGTGGTTAAGAACCCCTGTACGCAATCCACCCTGTTCCCAAATTTAGTGCTTTAAGTTTAGAGAAGCTTTCTAAAAACCATTATCTCAGCATCAATGTTTGTTTGGTGTCACAGCCCACCCTATGACAGTTACACAATCAGCGACATCTCCAAGCATTTGAGTCAGCCCAACAGCCAATCAGAGGGGGAGTCCACGGCCGAACTGATCAAGCTAGGGACAGAGGACCCCTCACAGGACAGACACAGATCCCTTCAGCGGGACACAAAGACTGATCCAGGTAAGAAAAATAGAGAAAAATGGGTCCAAGGTTTTTTAATAGTTGTGTTTCATTTCATCAAACACTCACGGTTCAGAGGCTAAATTGCTTTTTAATGCACAATAAAACACCTTCAAAATATTAAGATTGGAATGACGAAGATTGAACTGACTAACGATCTGGGCTTCCCATTTATACCTTCAGAGCCTCCAAAGGATGCACCCTTAACCAGCGGGCCAGTAGGACAGAGCTTAGATGATCACCAAACACGGATGAGCAATCTTCTGCCAACAGCGATGGGTGAAATGCCAGCTGTCGCCCCATCAAGCCCACCACCTGCTGGCACCGTAGACTCCACCACTGACTCACCGAGCAGACAAAGAGACAAACTTACAGTACAGGTGGGTGGACCGAAATTTAATTCTCACGACAAATCAGACTGAAAAGGACTGAAGCAAGTTTGAGTTGAATGCTTTTCTATACAAGAATTTTTGTATTACTAGAAGTTACCGAAAGATTCATCTCACTTTAAATGTTAGGATTGGGTTTGCAGTGCGGCGTTAATTTATCATCATTTATGTGGCTGAAGAAAAATGTTAAAAGTTTACCCAAATTTTATTTGCACAACAGTAATCCTAAATATCTTCCACTGTGCTTGGGAACCTTTTTGAATCCTCCAAATCCTTCACTTTGTAGATGTATTTGATCCATTCTTGTACTCTTTAACCATATGCTGCAGGGGAGCCTGGTTTCGGGCGCATAGGCTTTATACACGAAACCAGGGAGCCCAAAACCGTCCAAAAGAGCTAGGCCTTATAACAAAAGACCATACTCGGAACGAAAGACCGAGCTGCTGGGAATTGCTAACATTGTTTCAGTTGTCAATAGAGGAGGAAATCTGTAATTGTTTTGAAAAATTATACCACTGTTTGTGGCATTCAGCACGAGTGGATTACCACCGGGGACAAAAGCACCATTGCTGTAGTGTTGACCAATACAATACCGCTGCACGCTAATCTGGCCCCTATTGAAACGACACCAGCAGCACACTGTGCCAGTTTCAGGAACAAAAGAAACTTATGTAACACCACACAATCTGAGCTCTTTTTACCAGGTGGCAGGCCTGGCTGAAATACTCGGGCATCAATAGATGTTGTCTGTTAGATTAGAGTAGCCCCCAGGCAGTCATTCATGTGGGTGTAAACGTCCAGTAAATGAAGTAATGATTTTTTGAAGAATTTTGAAAATGGAAATCTTGACAATCTCCCGGTTTTACGTCATGCAACTTCAAATTCCACCCGGCAGCAAGTAGCTAATAATTCTCATGGGCATGAAGCCAAACTGATTGTAACACTGAGTTAGCTGTGCCTTCCTCACTCTTGCAAAGATACCTCGGAGGACACTTGATGGATTTGAAAGAATCTTGGAGAGGTAGACTTTAACATTGTGCCAACCATCTTTACCACGTTCTCCTTTCAGGACCTGACTGGCAGTTCCTTCTCCTCTGTCTCCTGGCCCAAGCCACCTGCCTCCACCCACCAGCTGCCCAGCGAGTTTGACTCCCTCGGGGTGAGACCCAGGCCTGCTATCACCAAGGACAGACCAGCTGCCGCCGGCGGGTACGGCCTTGGCGACAGCCTGGTGGGGAGTCTAAAAGAGAGCGGTAGCCTGCCCCAGCATCACGTGCACACGCACCACCACTATCACCAACCAGGTTTGTACAACAGATCCCCGTCCAGGATTCTCTCCTGAGGAAGGCCAGAGTACACTGGCCGAAACGTCGAGACCTGCTCTCACCAGTTCTTTTTAGAACCACACCTCTTCACAAAAGAGATATTTCCTACATGGTGTACCCGCAAACCTTTTTTGTTTAACACTCCCACCTTGCAAAGCTTCAAATCTTACTTAGATCCCCGTCCAGTTAATGATCATCTTGTCTGCTGTGACTAGAGGTGCCCCCTCACCGGTGAAGAAGAGACCGGCTGGTGGTAAGATTTGAAACCAGGTTGGAGCACATGCCCAGCACACAAGCAACGACTGCACATACCAGCCGAAATTGGTTTTGCGTGTATTGCCTAGTTTGTTTTGAGCCAAGTGCACGAGAACCATACATGTTATATAAAGTTCCCACCAAAGATGACCCAAGCCTCTCTTGTTCCCGCTTAGGGTAAGCTGCCCTTGTGTGTTATATCCTTTCTGTGAGTTCCAGTGCCCAATTTGGGGACCATGTTTTGTTTAAGTACGTTAATCAAATTGCATCAGTATCCCTGAACTGAGTTTGGTCGGACTGCTGTATACTTGGTAAATTTTACTGCAGTTCATATGTGACTTTATAATTTTTCTTTAAATTAGGGAGTTCTAACTGTGTTTCTTCCGTCAAAGAATTTGGGCCCAAGAATTTGAGGCTCAATGCTTCCATTACCACCACGACCCTTAATGGTATACAGAGGTCCTTTTCCTAAGTTCATTTATGGAAGTCTGTGAGGCAAGGATTTTCCCCTTCGGCCTCCTTTTTGCGTTTACAGATTTGAGAATTTCTGACTTGTTTTCCTTTTTTTCCCATTGTTGCAGTGGGCAAGCCTTCAAGCAGCCCGACACGCTCGAAATCACCCCCGCATGCCACCCTTTCCAGACCCCCTGCATCAGAGGGAACATCCCCCGCCAAGCTGTCACCACCGAGGGAACTCGATAAACGAAAGGAACCCAGAGGTTAGCCGATGCTTTTTTGTTTCAGGCACTCAATGTTTTGGTCATCAACAGTAATGTTTCAGATCTTTGGGGTAATTTCATAAAGGAATAGATTTAAGATAAAAGTCTTAAGTATTTGGAATATTGTGTTTCTGACTTTCAGCTTGGATTTGCAAATAATGCCTTAACGATTCAAGTGTGGATAGTGGAAGAGGTAGATTGAATAGTTGTTATGTAATCAAGAAGGCCAGTAGAATGCAGTGTTAGTAAGACGTATGGAAATGCAAAGATATTCTACAGTCCTTGTTTCAATGATATTCTCGTAAGAAATTAATACATACCTTGTGTTTGTAATTTTTCCCTGTCTTTTTCATTGGTAACTCATTTGACCTCAGTTGCACCCTCATGGCATGAACGCTTCGCAGGACACGATGACATCACCTTTGATGATATAACTGGTTCCAGACCCCGACATACTTACCCGGCCACGCTGCGGTCCACATACCCGGCACTGTCCAGGCGCAGACCCTCAAGCAGTCCCCCCACTAGAGTGGCATCCGTCGAGGTCCCGCCCGCGGAGGACGGTTACCAGCCACCAAGAAAACAGAGGACCATCTACAGCAAAGATGCGGAGCATTGGCCAGGCGATCGTCTTAACAGAAGAGAGGTATAGATCTGGGGCCGAAGATTTCCACTAGGAAAATTTATTTTCCGTTTGCCAAATCCAGGCTTGCAAACTTCCATTTCTTGCATTGGTCAGCATTATGTGTGCAGTAAGTGGTAACACATAGCTAGCTTAACCGTGCCTCCTTAACCACTTGCTGCCCAGTGGATTTAAATGGGGTTCCAATGTATACTAGGCTGTTCAGCAATTAATGACGTATTTGTTAAACCCTTCGCTACGGAGGACTGCTACTACCACCGCACCGTTGTGCGAGGAGTAGTGCACACCACACATACAGTCTATTCACCATGCAGCTGCTGGTTCAATGGGGCCTGCTGCTGGACAAAGCCCTCCATTCAGGGCATACCACAGCCCAGCAGTCACGGTCCAAATAATCCTGCCGTGAAGGGATTAAAGGGTCCTTGTGGGAAACTCAAGTGAGGTGATTTGCCGGACTCACTCTTCTTACTGTAATCTGTTTAGGAATTAAATAATAAGTGTTGAAAGTCTTCAAAAGTTGACTTGTACCTCTCTGTGACAATGCAGGAAGGTCATTTGCCTCCACGGCCGAGACGAGTGGCTTTCGTCGATGATTATGACGAGAGGGACAGATCCCAGCGATCCTTCTTTCGTGAGAAACTCGAGCCAGTCACATCCCGGTTCATGTAAGGCTCTTCCTCTATTCCTTTCTCTTTAAATGCCTCATGAGAACTGGGCAAACCTGCTAAACTCATCATGGCATTTGAAAACCAATTGAGAGTGGGCTTTCTGATCGTAGGGTAATTGTAAAAACGGATTTGAAAAATGACACTGAAGTTTCATTTGTCATATTCTTGAATCAGTGTCTGTAGATACCATTTCATAAGATTTTGACAATTTTCTGTCGCTTTATTTTCTACTAGGCGTGAAAGCAGCGAGAGTGAGGCTGATTCAGACTCAGATGCCTTATCCCAGTGCAGCGATACGGCAGTGGACTACCAGCAGGGTACCAACTACAAGCAGACGCACTACATCGGAGAGCAGCGGGACCAGCCTTATCACCTGCGACCCCGCCGCAAGCCTGCCGCAGCCGCCTCCATAGCCAAGAAACAGCGCCCTCAGCTCCGGCCAAAGAGCGTGCTCCTGCCCGTAGCCAGGACTCGCAGTCACAGAGTGCGGTTTGAGGAAGCCCTGGAGGCGGACGCGACAGGCCCAATGAGCAGGATCAGGAAGAGGCTGAACAAGGAGAACCGGAAGCACTCTAGGCAGAAGGAGGTGAGTATCTCCTGGCTGTACACCCTGACAATCCGCCCCGAGCTGATGTGCGCCCCCAATCGGCGAAAGAAAGACAGGTGGTTACAAGCGGGTTCTTGCACGCGTGCTGCGTGTATGCAAGGACCATACTTGCCGGAATAAATTAGTTACATGTACTCAGCGCGTTCCGCATCAAATGCGCATATACTTGCGCACTCATGGCGCGCCTTTGTGGTGAGTACCAAAAAAACACGCCCTCTTTTGTTCCGCTTGGAGCGGATAGACCTTATCATGATGCTGCCATGTTTGTCTTGTTCCCCGTAGACCCATTGGCAATAGTAATACAACTTCTCATGTTGATAAAATGGAACAGACTATTTTTCCTTCAGCCTCAGTTTGGTTGAATTGCTTTATGATAGAAAAGCAAAATGGCTGCCGCAAGATAAAGGTCTATACAGTTAGCAATTTCCATTGTTTTAAATGTAGTCCAAGTGAATTTTCTAAAATGTGCTCCACTTTGTAGAATACTTCTCTCCAGCAGTTTTCTTTCCTCTTATAGTCTAGGTCGTTACTTGATTACCTGGATTGTCAAATGATGCTCCCTATCTACCCCAGCTGGGCACTGACTTATAGTATCCTAGAGGTAGAGCTCTGAAGGGATAAACTGTCCAACCACATCAAATATAGAACTTAGAAGGAACTCTGTCTAAGATTCTGAGATTCTTATGACCGGCAGCCTCTGTTCGTACGTACTAGCCAAAACAGCTGTGATAGAGTGTCTTCGACAGTGGTCAGTTGACCCAGATCTTGATAAGCTCAACCATGAAAACAAGGCACTCCTCTTTGAAGCAGGGGGCCTTCCAAGCCCCGAGCATGGAGTGATACAATGGTCAGTTTGAATTACCCCCTTAAAAATGTGTGGAGGACAATTGAAAGGAAAATTGCTCTTTTTTCATTAGTCATTGAAATGAAAATGTTCAGCAGTATATGTTTAAATTTTCTTTGTCACAAAGTTTGATATTTGTTTTATAGGTCCTGCGCTATGTTTATAAGAGCAATCTTGAAGAAGCCAAGAGCGGTCTCAAGAAGCAACTGGACCGGAATAAGAAAGTCTTAAATAAACAGGTAAGGAGCAGCATTGATTTCTGAGTTAAAGTTAACAAGTAATCACGAAGACTATGTTTGCACTGGGTGCATATCTACCACTGCTGGGGTTTAAGACTTAACCCCGCTTGTCCGCACCAGAAACATTCCTGAAACATCTCAGCTCCCCGGGGAGTATCCATTTTGGTATCTGTCGTGAGTTGAAGTGCGCCCTCACCGGCAAAAGAAAGACATATATGGTATGAAGTTGTCCAACCAGGTTATCTTGCACTTATACATGGGGCTTTGCGGGGTACCGGAACAATGAGAAGTACCCCACAAGGCCAGTTTTTACCTTGTGGGTACCAAAATTGGTACCCCACAAGAATTTCACGAAACTGATATTTGGAAATAGCTCAAAAAGGGGAAATTTTTGATGGGTAAAAATCCGTTGCCATTGAAGTGTTTTATATAAGGGACATTCGGAAGAATTTTAACCCAGGAGAGTGAATTTGGTTTAAGTTGGAGTGATTTGAAATTTTTTCTGTGTTGTGTTGGAGTTTTGTACACGAGAACAAAGGAAATACCCCACAAGTATAGTTATGTAAGGATGCATGCACGTGTTCAGTGTACACACGAATACCACACATTCCAGAATAAATTTATTGTGATTACTCAAAATACTCCAGGTCAATGGCTTGAGTTTGCACCCAACGACTGCCAAATTCATGTATTCCCTCCTTTTTTTCCCGCTCGGAGCGGATAACCCTTTTAGGTACAAGTGGCTTTGACCATGTGGCCAAAAATCAATAACATTGCTTAAAAAAATTTCAGACAGTTTCAAATATTTTTAGAAATTGGAGGATTTCCTTCTATGTTGGACACACAACCGTAAAAAACGGATGACAGTTTCTTTTGGACAATCATGCCCTTTTCCAGGATGCAGAATACAGGAAGGTTTTCAGTGGTCCTAAGACCAGCAATTACCAGCCAGCACAGAAATATAATGGTAGGCATTGTCATCTTGTTTGTTCTGTAAATCAGTATTATTATTCAGAAAGGTCGTTTGGAATTTTGAAATAATTTTGTGCGAAATAAAACTGGACACATTTTTAACCACTTCCTGCCGTGGACTCCGGAATCGGAGACGTATGGTTTATATGCGTGGCCGGGGTCTCCGAACTCAGAAAAAAGAAACAGGGCCCTGTAACAAAAGACCGTACTCCGAACAAAAGACCAGGCTGCTGGGCATTACCGACATTTTTCACTCTCAAAAGTGGTGATAATCCAGCCTTGTTTTGAACCGTATACCAGGGTTTGGGGCATTTATAGCGAGCGGATTACCACCGGGGACAAAATCGCTCCACCACCGCAGCGATGAGCCACACAGCACCGCTGCACGCTAATCTGGCCCCTATTGAAAAGAGGTCAGCAGTGCACTGAGCCAGGTTTGTGAACAAAAGAAAGTTATATGACACCGCACAATCTGGGCTCTGTTTACAAGGCTGCAGGCCTGGCTGAAATACTCGGGCGTCAGTGAAGGTCACATGTCAACTTAGTGCCTAAAGTAGAGTAGTGCCTAAAGATTACTTCGTGCGGCTATGAACGACCGTTAAATGAAATGATGAATTTTTGAAGGATTTTGAAAATGGAAAAAATGATAGTCGTGCTGGCCCACCATCATTAACATTGAAAAATGACCCCGGCATGAAGTGGTTAAGTAACACAGGTTTTAGGATTTTTAGGATTTTTCAAAGTCAGGATATTTGGACATCAAGATTCTGGATTTTATAGTTTTAATCATTCACATTTTGCTGTTTTATTAGATTTGTATAACAGCCCAATTGCAAGATTTGCAGGATCGTAAACCATTTTAAACTTAGGTCATGCCTCACTAGCTATTAAAACCCTTCAAAAGTCACATTATTTCTGATGTCTCATGGATTTCTCTTCATCCCAAAATCTTATGGCTAAGGCAGACTCCTAAATAGTCTCCAGGAAAAAATACCATGATTCAAAGTCAGTGTACGGCACTTTTATAACTATATGCTGCCGGGCTTAATTAGAATTTGCATGATGAGTTCCCGGGGGATTTTCAAGATTTTCTGTTTTCAAAATTCTTCAAAAATTCATAACTTCATTTACTGGACGTTTACACCCACACGAATGCATGTCTGGTGGGCTACTCTAATCTGACAGGCAACAGCTATTGAGGCCAGAGTATTTCAGCCAGGCCTGCTGCCTTGTAAAGAGAGCCCAGATTGTGCGGTGTTGCGTAATTTCCTTTGTTCCCGAAATTGGCCCAGTGCTCTGTTGGTGTCTTTTCAAATGTGGCCAGATTAGCATGCAGTGGTATTGTATCACTCACCGCTGGAGCACTTTTGTCCCAGGTGATAATCCACTTTCCCTGAATGCCACAAATAGTGGTATACTGTTTCAAAACACTGACAGATTACCTCCGCTATTGACAACTGAAAAAATGTTAGTAATTCCCAGCAGCTCAGTCTTTTGTTCCAAGTACAGCCTTTTCTTACGAAGCCCAACTCCTTTGCCTGATTTCGTACCCCCAGCTATGCGTATAAACCTAAGATCTCTGGTACTGGGAACCCCGGCACAAAGTGGTGAAAGTTGTCTTTACAAGGATGCATTTTCGTGATTGCAAGGTGTATTTCTTGTTTCTTTCTATCTCAAAGTAACAACAGAGAGACCATCTCGCGCCGCCACCAGAGGCCTGAGGTCCAAGCGCAAACGGAGTGCCTCGGCAAGTCCCACCATGCACAGACATAAGAGATGTGAGCAGACATCTCCTTTGTTCTCTTGTCTTTCCCAATAAATACTCAATTCTCTTTCCAAATGAACAATCCACTGTTCTTCCCAGTGAGTATTTCATCATGTTTCCCAGTGAATTATTTAATGTCCTTCCCAGTGAATAATCCCTGGTGAGTAATCTATTGTCTTCAATAGTGAGTAATCCATTGTCTTTCCCAGTGAGTAATCCATTGCCTTTACTAGTGTGTAATCGTCTTTATCAGTGAGTAATGCCTCATGTTTCCCAGTGAGCAATCCTTGTCCTCTTCTGCAGTGAGTATTGGAGAAGATGAGATGCTCCCCACCGTCATGCAGGAGTTCCCTTTCCTCCACGTCTCGCCCCAGACAGCCCACGACATGTGGGCCAAGCAGATGCGGCAGATGGAGCAGCTGACCAAGATGGGCGTGGACCAGCAGTACAAGAAGACGAAGACACAGCTGAAGGTCGGTGCTTCCTGCAAAAATATTTCCCTCAGCAGGAATGATATTACCCTCGACAGTGGCCAATGAACAACGTTTCCCCTTAGCAGGGAATATATTACCCTCAACAGTGGCTGATGAACAAAATATTCCCCTCAGCAACAGTTTTATACATAATATTCCCCCTCATCTGCGGCTTCATAAGAAATATTCCTGTCAGCAGTGGCGCCATAAACAAATATTCTGCCTCAGGTGTGGCTCTATGAAGAATTATTCCACGCGGCCATAGCTCCCTGAACAAATATATCCCCCACAGTTTCATGCACAAAATAATTTTGCCCCTTTTTAACTTGTTATGATTTTCAGTTCTGTTGTGAAGCAAAATTGAAATGACCAGCGTGATACCCAACCCAAAGCCCCACCCTCAAAATGGTGTTCCATTGCATAATCAGCTGAGTTATTTGATCGAAATTCACTTTCCGTATTTTATTTGCTTATATTTATCACTTTATGCTAATTTTGTTTGTTCAGAGGGAAGAAGCAGAAAAACGGCAGGAGATCCTCCTAAGAATCATGAAGAAAGAGCTGGCACACAACCAGAGGATGGTCAGTCTGGTTTGTTCATTCCATCCATCAACGAGACAGTTGCAACAACAATTGAAAATGTTCTTGATTAAAAAGTACGATGTTTGAAATGATTGGCTTTTCAGGCTTTGCCCATCTCTTACCTGCCGTCAAGTTTTGGTGCACCTCCCCCTCCAAAAGCTAAACGAAGTAATTCATGTTTAATCTTGTTTGTTATGACTTTTTGTCCCTATTCTTCAGCGAGAGATAAGAGAGCGAAGGTCCAACGAGCAAGCCATGCAACGTCAGATGCAAGAGCAGCGGCAGGTGAATGCCCGCGCCAGGAGATACTACGATGAGTTCCAGCTGCGGGCGAGGTCGCGCCTGATGAAGAGACGGACCAGGGAGGAGCAGGTCAGGTCAAAGTCGATAATGACACAACAAATGACCTGAACGAGCCTTGGAAGCATCCACTCGTCAAAAGGTCTTTGCAGCTTGTAATGTAAGGTGACAGTGGGCCAAATCATGCTGTCCTGGGAGATATGCCAATTGCTCTTGGACTGATGAGAAGCATTACATACAGTAAAATGTCTTGCTTAGGGACACAGACCATCTTAGTTCTGTAGGAGGTTTCCAAATCTTGGTTTCACCTCAGCTTGGCATAATTTTTAACCCTTAATTTTTAACCTCTCTTTAATTCCGTGACTCAAGTCGTGTTCTGCTAGAGGAGCATTTAACTGTACCTTACTAAGAGGGTCAGTTACTTGAATTCAGTTCATACTCCAAGTTGATGTGTAGGCCTATCCACCCTGAGTTGAAGTGCACCCTTACCAGCAAGGAAGAGACAGGCTTGTGGAAGTTTCTTCAACTGCCTAGTGCATGCACTTGGCGCACACGGACAGACCATACAATCCGACATAATTGGTTGCACTTACTCTCCACACTAATGTGCAGAAACGTGCACTCACGGGTGAGTTCCCACCAAAGGACCGTCGTTTCCGTGTCAAAACACGCCCTCTCTTGTTCCCACTCAGAGCGGCTGAGCAGTTGCAGTGTCAGAGGCAGAGACTTAGATAGAGACATAGTCCCTGTGCTGCCAGCTGGTCTCATATGGGCCGTGAGATTCTAGGGAGGATAAATATTTCCTCTGCATTTCTGCAGATGGCTCATCTTTGAGCTTGTCATCTTCTTTTTTTTGTGAGCAGATTTTCAAGAAGCTCTTTGAAGACGGGCTAAATATCCAGAAAGCCAGAATCCGTGACCTGCGAAAGTATGCGCGGGAGAAGCGCGAAGAGGCAGCAAAGAGACAGCAGGATGAGATAGATTCATTAGAGAACTAGTATCCTTACAATACTATTCGCAGTATTGCACACATTGCCATAAGACTAACCACAAACTACCATTAGAATACCATGCATTAGAATACCATGCTATCATTAGAATGCAGCACACTGTCACTATGATATTAATGAATAGTATCGTAAGCATGATAGCAAATAGCATTATCAGAATACTGTACAGCACTGTAAGAATTCTGTTTGCATCACCACTGATCAGAAGCCTTACAGAGTGAATGCACATGGTTTTGTAATCAATGGTTTGCTATTTACCTGACTGGTAAATATATATGGACTATATTGAAATGTAATATCAAACAGTTACATAAAAATGTATAACTCACTTGACGAGCAAAAGCAGTTCAGGAAACGTTCCAAGTAGGCGGTAGCACATGAATTTTTGAATCTGTGTATTTCAGTTGGCAATTTCATTTACGCCAGAATGTTGAGAGACGTTGAAGGTGCGTGTGTTTCCACGCACATCTGTGTAAGTTGAACGCTGACCGTCAAAAATCATGCGACTGAAAATCCTCTATAGACTAAAGCAGACGAGAGCTTATGTCAAAAGTTACGGATATTCTACAAAGTATGTATATTTTGCTGGTTGTAAGGAATAGTTTTTGGTAGTGAATATTTCATTAACTATTCCTCCAGCTATCGTAATCAGTTCAGCATGCTGGCGGAGGCCATTTCCAAGGAGAGACATGACCTGCAGACCAGGGACAGAGCTCAGACAAAGGTTAGTGGTTGATCAGTCAGTCAGATTAGATTTCCTAAGGTTGCACATGCTGTATTGTGTGTGGTGGAGGAAGGAACGGAATAATTCAACTCTGAGATTCATCAATTTCTACTACTTTGTTTAGCTACGTTACCGTTTAACCTGTGGCGATTAAATGCATTCCTGTTGTTTTGGGGGCTGCTGGTTAGGTTGAAATGTGTTTGGTTGGGCTTAGATAGGTTGGATTGGTGGGATTGGTTTGGTTGGATGTGATGTGTTGCTTTGCATTGCGTTGTTGGGGTAGGTTTGGTGGGGTTGAGATAGGTTGGGATGGGGTGAGATGTGCTGGGTTAGGGAACCATAGGATTGGATGGGTTGGGTTTGACTGGGCAGACTAGGTTTGGGATAGGTTGGTGAAACAGAAATTGCCAACGTTCTGAAACACTTCCTTCAGTTTACTTCCACCTGTGTCTTTGTCCGGCAGGTGATGGAGGGGATGAAGCGAGACATGAGACGGAAGATGGAGCAAGAGGTGCGTGTCTTCCAGGAGCAGATGTACCGAGATGAGGACACAGAGTACTTCCGACAGCTGGAGGCGGACAGAATGAGACGGGAGCTACAGATGGCGTCGTACAAGACAGTCATTTAAAAGTGGACTTTGAGAAGGCTAGAGAATCAGACATATGTATTGTAGATAGAATGTCGCTACAACACCTCCCCACCATCCAGATTTCCTGGCCGTAGTAGGTGGCTGTTTTCACTTGCTGCGCTGACGTTCAGATTCCAAGATGATGTCCACACAGGCAACACAGCTTTCATTTGCATTCATTTTTGTTCCAGGAAGTTGCTAATAATACGCGATTAAAAGGACTGAGAAACGAGAGCACGATCCAAACTTTACCGTTGGATTGACCGCCATGCTAACACGGGACCAACTGAACAGTGCAATAAGACAATTTTGTAACCACGTCATGTGAGTGAAGTAGGTGTTCTGCACCCCTAGTGAGTTGCTCGACCATTGCGTACACAAGTTTTGAGGAACCAAGGGGTATTCTCTTTATAGCCGAATTGTTGATAAAAAGTGACTTTTGTTGCTGCGTTGTTTGCTCTGTATTACTCAAAACATTTGTTTGAAGACTTAATAAGATAGGAGTGTCAGATAGTATCTTAGTCGATGGTTTGAGGCTCCTTCAGGAAAAGGATCAAGAAGCCAGGGGTCTTTGATGAGTTGCAGCTGTAGGCAGACACTGGAAGAAAAGCAGCTACAGATTACTTCCTAAGTAAGATTTGAAGCTTTGCATGGTGGATGAGACATGAGAAATGGGTTTGCGGGTACACCATGGAATCAATCTCTTTGGACGAGGTGCGGTTCTTAAAAGAACCGGTGATAAAAGTTTATACTCACCGGTTCTTTTAAGAACCACACCTCGTCCAAAGAGATTGATTCCATGGTGTACCCGCAAACCCATTTCTCAGATTACTTCCTGTGTGGCAGGTACTTATCAATTAAAGATCTCTAGAAGATGTTTAAACAAGACGAGGAGAAGCCCGTTAGGAGACTGGCGATGGCGGATGCAGCGATATCTTGATAAGAAAAGGATACACAACTGTAGGCAAAGTAGACCTAGAGGAACATTGAGAAAGTGGCATGAAGTAAAAGAGGTGGTTTTGTTGAGTAAGTTCGAGGCTTTCAGAAGCTGTGAAATAGAAAAAAAAAACAGAATGTGATCAAGAAGGTGAGGTCAAGCAAAAGCTGGCGGAAGATGCGGTGACTTTCGAAACAATAATTCAGTGATAAACCACAGTAGATTATTCTAGATCTGCTAGAAAATAATGTAGAAGTAAAAGGCCTTTAAGGAGGAGCAAAACGATAATGAATAATTTTTTGGCCATCTAGAGCACAGACGTATATAAAAAAAAATCTGCACTACCGGTGCCCTTAATCAGCTTATAGAGATCATTGAATCCACTAGCGGCCTTTTTACCGAGCCGAATACTAAACTTGCCCGACAATGCCCGCCTTTGTTCTCCCTGGCGTCAATAGAAGGGAGCCAGCCCACGCATTTGTATTCGGCTCCGGTAAAATGGCCGCTGGTTGGCTTCTTTTTCATACAAAGGCGTTGCAAGTCCAGGTTTTTTTTTATATACGTCCGTGATCTAGAGGGACATAAGGAAGACATCACGCTTCACAAGACTGTCTTTCAGGAAAGAAAGATCTTAGGGAGAAGCAGGGAGCAGTATAGGAGCATATTAGTCACCTGGAAGTTGGCTTAGCTGATGAAGTAACTTGTAGAGCAGCAGCTCAGGATAAGACGAAATATAGCTCTGTCCAAGACAGTGAAAGGGGGAGATGGAAAGGGGTGTTGATGGTGAATCTCTCTGAGATTACTGTAGACAGGATATTTCTTTAAAGCTGTTGTATTTTGGGGAGGCATTATCTGCCTGCTATTATTTGGATAAGATCATTTCCAGAAGACCAAGAACGGTCCAGGTTAAGGCAGAGTGCGGAAGAATTGTTTGGAAAGATCACAGGTAAAGACCCGTGGGGTCAGTGATTGGAGAAGAGATGTATTTTGTAATTATTGTTTTGTTTTCAGAGTGGAGGTGAAAATTGGAAAGCACACGCTGTTTCGGCCGCCATCCAAAGTACCGTCCATTGTTCACGAGGTCATGCATACCTCTGACAGCTCGACTCGCAAATTGTACTTTCATCCCTGTCCGCCTCGATAATGTGAGGGTTTAAACTGTTTAGGTTAATATAATACGGTATCTCTGAAGTATATCCATAATTTTTCGAATATTTCACGCCAGATGCCCTTGCTGTAACTGACTTTGCCCCTTCTGTCACTATTTATTGTCTTGATGCACTGGTCTGAATAATTATTTGTAGGATGCATTAAATTAAAGCCATGAAAGAATTAATGAGTTAATAAACAGTGATTCTTTTGCAATCATTTGAATATGGTGTTTTCAGAATTTCTCTCCAAACGTGTGTAATTAGTACTCCGATTGTGCACATCGAGAATCGTCAAAGTAAGCTATACGGTGACTCTGTCTTTCCATTTTGAAAGGAACGTTCTGGTAGACTTTTTATTTATGAGCCACAGCGTTTTTGCCGTAGTATCTGACTTAATCGGACGTTGAAAGTGAACTTTTGATCTCTGATACTCCTTGCACAGAACCATTTTTTCTTGCGATCGAGTCATAAGTGAGTGTCTTGTCGGCGTATGAATGCATATTTTATTCCGTCTGTTCATTATTATCATCAATTTTTTTTCAGCCATTTCCTTCCTGCCGATTGATTTAACTCTAAAAGAGCCTGGGGCGGAATCCGCCCCTCAATATTTTTCCGAAATTGCCGCAGTGCATTTTTTTCAGGAGTTGAACCTTTAGGATTTTTAGAGTAGCTCTTTGCTGTCATTTTGACGCCATTTTGGCAAAAATCGAACATACTGTTCTCGCGCAGCGTGCATTTTTCAAAATTTTTTGTCAGCAAAAAAATTGTACTTTTGTCCACTGGTGGTGCTCAACGCACGCGTACTGGCAATATTTAGCCACGAACTTTAAATGAACATAAAAAACCATACCTCTGACCGACTTCAAACTTCACATGACGGGCAATTTACAATAGTGCGCCTCCAAGAGTTTCCAACGCGTTGGCCAATCACAACGCACGAAATTTGTCGACTCTTTCCAAACGCGCATTCGGGCGACAAATCGGGTCTAGAAAATGGTTTTCGTTTCCTCTTTTGTCCCAAAAGTGACTACAAACCCCTAAAATGTTCCTAAAGAATTTCCAAACTGTTTGTCCCCTCGAAAAAAACAATTCCGCCCCCCAAAAAAAGTTACTCGATCTGCCCTTGATCCGGATAAATTTCAGCGGTTGGTTTTCGTATACTTCTTTTATTTTCTTGGGCTTTTAGGTTTACTGTAGATTGGATTTTGGTCCTTATATTTTGGGTTCAGTTCTGTTGTCAAATCACGTTTTAGAAACATGTTGATGAATTCCTCGTTAATGTCTTTTTACACAAGAACTTTTTGTCCTGTCTCTTTTCTCCGGAGAGCAGTTCCCCCGATATAGTAAGCACTGTGAGTATTTTTTTCTGTCCAATTACGTAACTACACAATTAATTTTTCATTACGATGTAACAGATGCCTATGATTGTGACGGATGACGGATGTCCACACAATGAACTTAAGTTGTGAGCTGGCGATAACGGATATGCTTAACACGCTGAACACGATTTAATCTGTCCACAAAAAGTACACCAATGAGCAGAGTTTGGCCTTTAACAGTTACAAATTAACAACATGAACCAACAACGGCAACTTGTTAATCTAATTAAATTAACGCAATTTAAGTAATCACCGAACTACAAACGATTAACAGGATGGATGATAATAACCTTGTGTATAGGTGTACACGTGCAAGACGCCCGATTATACGCAATAAACCCTCTACCTTGACATGAGCTTACAGTCGTAACTTTGTAAATTGTCTCTCCTTTTGTTGTATTTTCGACCCCATTAAATACTCAAACCTATCCCGAAATACCCATAAAAAACCATTAGAGCCAATAAAGTAAATTTAAATAATGCATTAAATGAATCCCACTTTCGACATTGGGATAACGTGTGTCCTGAACCCAAATTACATGGCGACTCAGTGAAGTAAGCTGAAATTTCTATATAGTGTGCCCACTGAACAGCGCCCTCTTTTGACAGGGCAACCAACAAATTAATATATCGATAAAAGAGCATTCTGACTTAACAATGAT